CTGCCAATAGCGTGGCCCCCGTCTTACGATACTCCTTCGTAGCATTTATTCTTTTGCATTACCTACATGCCTACAAAAGGCGGACGTAGACAACAGGAAAAGAGATTGAGGTTTCAAATTAAATCAGCTTTTAATTCAAACCAAGATCCTTTCCCCCATTTCCAAAAACTTCTAAATCGAAACGCACCGGTAGATTCGCCTCGCGAAAACGTATATATATTCACTCCAATCTTTGGAGATCGATTTTTCGTTTCCTGACTATAAAAATATCCAAAAGGGCGATCCACGCAGACTCGCCTATAAGCTGCGAAATCTTTTTGGCACCGGATTCAAGATTTCCCTTCCAAATCATTATCCGACCCTTCCTACCGAACATCCCTGACCACACGGCTTGATCTCCGATCCCCGGGTAAATTGCTTTAATGCATTGACCTTAAAAATGGAGAAAATCCCAATTGTGACGTAACATGTGTTCCATCCAAATGAATTATCTATTAAAATTAATTTATTATCACTTATTATTATATATTTTTTAATTTGTTGTTTATTATTTTATTAGTTGTTTTATTTGTCTTTATTTGTTGTTTTTTGTTTATTTATTTTTATTTTTTTATTTGTTTTATTCAATGAATATAAATAGTAGTAAAATGTTAAATTTCTATATTGTCTATATAATTTATAATTATAAGGAAAAAATAGAACAAAGAAGATGATAATATTTACTAATTTACATAGGATCAATGTCATCATTCCAAGCAACAATTTGAATACGTTTTCCGTTTCCATTGTTTAGAAAAAACTTTAAAAATTTATACTTTTTCTCATTTCCAATAATGCGAGGAGCTTCTATTCCATCAACGTAATCGATTACTTCACTATAAAGATAGTAAAATTGAAGGGTTTAATGTTAAAAAAATTAAATTGTAAGTAGAATAATAATATAATTGTTTAAGAAAAAGTAACAATAAAAGATTATATTAAACGTTTAATAAATAATACAAATTCAATTAATAGTTTTGATAAAGTAATATCAAGAAATTGAGCGAATATAAAAATTTACATTAAGAATATAATAAAAATTTAATATTCTTGAAAAAGAGAATACTCGCCATGATCATATATATATAATATATATATATATATATATAGGATCGTGATGTCATAAGTGAAAAATAACTGTTGCCGCCAGGGGATAAAGTAGCGAGTCGAGATCACGTGCCAACTCATGAAGCACAGTCGCGCTTGCTGCCAGTTCATATACTCATTCTCTCAGTCATATTCGTAATAAAAATAGTCACGATATTCGATAATCATTGTGTTTCATTAAGCATATCCAAGAAACATAACAGTGGCGACGAGGAAAAAAAAGGTATCGAGTAACAATCGCATCGGTCACATCTCTCAATCTTAACCTTTTCTTTTTCGATCATGTCGGAAATAAAGGAAGCTCTCCTAGCCTTTATGCAACAGCAACAAGCTCAACTAAAGGTACAGCAAGAATTTTTCATCCAACAACAAAATGCGTTTGCTGCTCAACTTTCACAAGCATTCGCTTCATCAACCATAACTTCACATAAAGAGATGAAAACTGAATCACTCGCAAGCGGCATCATGGAATTCACATACGATCCCGAAAACGGATTAATATTCGATGCTTGGTTTATTCGCTACGAAGGTTTGTTTAACGTCGATGCAAGATATCTTGACGACGCCGCCAAGGTAAGGCTGTTATTGCGCAAATTAAATACAACGTGTCACAAGCAATATGTTGATTACATTCTTCCCAGTCAGCCGAAAGATTTCACTTTTGAAGACACAGTCAAAAAACTCAAGCAAATGTTCGGCAAAAAGATTTCATTGTTTAATCAACGATACAACTGCATGAATACTGTCAAATTTCAGCATGAAGATTTTATCGCTTACGCAGCCCAGATAAATAAAAAATGCGAAGACTTCCAAATTTCAAAGATAACCGCTAATCAATTTAAATGTTTAATTTTTGTATGTGGATTGCGTTCTCCTATCGACGCTGACATCCGCATCAAACTCCTGAACCTTATCGATTCCAAACTAGATACTCTTACCATAGAGGATCTTACTGTGGAATGTCAACGTCTTCTTAATTTAAAAGCTGACACTTCTTTAGTTCAAAATGCGAAACCACTCAATGTAGCCGCAATACAAACTAAACAGAAACAATCTAAAACTGCAAAATACAGTAAAAACAAGAAATCGCAAAACCTCACAAAGCAAGGTCAGAAGCAACCTGCTACGCCTTGTTGGTTCTGTGGTCAGCTTCATTATTCTAAGGATTGCACGTACAAGAATCATCTATGTAAAAATTACAATACCATAGGTCACAAAGACGGTTATTGTAATTCAAGCAAGAAAACAAAGAGCAATTCGAATAACAACGATTCCACGTCTACAAAAACTATAACAGCAGCAGTAAATCAGATCAACGAGACATATTTTCGCAAATACGTCGACGTCACGATAAATTCCAAAACCGTTAAACTGCAACTGGACACCGGTTCTGACATCACGATAATTTCCGAAGATACATGGAAACTGTTAGGTCAACCTCAAAGTAAACCTTCCGAACGTATCGCTAAGGACGCTTCAGGTAATCCGTTACACATTTCACAAGAAGTCGACTGCACAGTCTCATTAAATAACGTTTCACGTCAATTACGTTTTTACGTCACTCCAAACACAGAATTGAATCTCCTTGGATTAGATTGGTTACATGCCTTTGATTTATGGCATAATACAATTAACAGTTTTTGTAATCATGTTACTAATCCTCAAATTACAGCATCACGACGTCAAGCCTTACAACAAAGGTTCCCTAACGTCTTCAGCCCTGAATTAGGATGCTGCACTAAAACAAAAATTACTCTGCATCTTAAAACGGGTGCCAAACCTGTATTCCGACCTAAATGGCCGGTCGCTTATTCAATTCTTCCATTGGTCGAAGCAGAACTTGAACGTCTAAAGCAAGCAGGAATTATCTCTCCAGTGAGCTACTTAGATTGGGCCGCACCAATTGTCGTCGTTCGCAAGAAGAATGGTCAAATCCGTATATGCGCAGATTTTTCTACGGGTCTAAACGACTTTTTGGAACAAAATCACCATCCATTACCTCATCCAAACGAAATTTTTGCAAAATTATCGAATTGTAAGTACTTCAGTCAAATCGATCTTTCAGACGCATTCTTACAAATTCAGGTCGACGAGAATTCAAAACACCTCTTGACAATAAACACTCACCGCGGTCTTTTCGTTTACAATCGCTTACCCTTTGGCGTCACTGTAGCCCCTGGCGAATTTCAAGCGATTGTGGACGCTATTATCGCTGGACTCGACAAGGTATTTGCATACATTGATCATCTCGTCGTTGGAGGGTCTACAATTGAAGAACATGATCGTAATCTAAATGAATTATTCAAGCGCGTACACGATTACGGACTCCACGTCCACATAGAAAAATGTAATTTTTTTGCAACAGAAATAAATTATCTAGGATATATAATCGACGGACAAGGATTGCACCCAGATCCTAAAAAAATCTCCGCGATTGTCAACCTGCCAGCACCTTCAGATCTTACTACATTACAATGAAAGAACAAGGGCAGTAGGAGTCAAGCGCGGGAGACGTTGCGCAAATAACACGACTATCGTAGCGTGAAACTTCTTTATTTTACTAAAGCGCTTACATGTTTCGGCTCATTTTTTATCCTTCTTCAGAGATAACTAATAAATTCATACATAGAATATAACGATTATTAACTAGTCATGGTGATCTTCCTCACCTCGAGAGTATAAATGCCAGAATTAAATCCAGATAAGAATGCAGTAAAAAAGAAAAAAGGGAAAGAAATTTTGAAATTCTCGAAATAAAGAAAATCTAAAACTAATGTATCAAAAAATTTTGAAATTATATTATAATTAATTATTACGATGGTTAAGAAGCTCACCTTGGTCACAAGATACCGCATCGCAAACATTACTCTTAATAATTCAAAAACCG